CTACTACTACACTACACACACACACACACACACACACACACACACACACACACACACACACACACACACACACACACACACACACACACACACACACACACACACACACACATACATACATGCAGACAAAGTGGTAATGCTATCGATCCGCGACATTATGCTCTGTTAACCGTAAGGTTGGATTATTGGTGCCACACAATAAGGGCCAATCATTCTAGGCCTTCTTATTGTTTAATGTCTGTGATTTCTTTATTGGCATGGCATTTATTTGTAACTTCAACAGATGGCTATTTATTTTTGATTCAAAGGCCACACTGCCTCGCTATTATCATACCTTATGATGAAGGTAAAAAGAAGTGCAACAACATATTCTCTTGACAGCTATTCTCAATCGAGATTCAATTATTCTAATGAATAACTAACGTCATCTGATATCCGTCAACTGAGTCACGGATTAGTTTGCCATCCATAGCTTAGTGCTTGGTCACATATGTGAAGAGAAGTAAATGTCTCCGACCAACTTTTCCATTTTCTCTTTCATTTTTATCAAACCAAACCTTATTATACTTCTGTTCTACATAACACCACGCAAGAAGTTTGCATTTATGACTCATGATGACTCAGCTAAATAGCATTCTATGAGCTATTTTCTAGAAGAATACAGATGATTGGAATTTATGAATGGGTTCTGTTCGTATAGATGGATTACTCTTTCGGGAAATTGATCTGTAAATCATGGCTAATTGATGTCTACTAATTTTGTGTATCCACTATTAGAGTCTTGATTTGTTAGTTTATATAAGTGGTTAAGTGTTTCAGATCCATCGCAGTCTTTCAAAGAAAGATTCGTCCTTCTGTCCTTGAAATTATAGAAGCAGTATCGTATTTTCTCACCACTTATCCCTAACGCTCAGCCATCCATTGGTCTTTACACTTGTCGAGTACTCTCTGTCCTTCATATATCATATCAGTTTACAACATCTATCACTAAGTTGAAATGGAAAGCAAACGTGGATAGGACAGAAATTCAACTCTTAACATGGTATTGTTAGTTCTGTTGAGAACTTTCTTCATCCGAAGTTAAAATTCGATACGCATTGATTCTGTTTCCATTAATTAGTTCGCTAACTTTATCCATTTTTGAAATATCTGTAAAAGTGAATTTCTTCTCTGATTTCTTCTCAGACATGTTTCATCCTTCTCTCTGTTTCCTGAAGTTCCAGTTTCTTCAATATTCTGCAACACTGCGCTATTCATTTATTTATTTCCACAGGAAAAACAATCCTTCAACATTTTGAATCAAAGGAAACGATAGCACTTGATTTATGTCACAACACCTGGCATTAGATGTTCCTTGCTTTAGTATTTCATCTTCTGCTCATGCTACTTTTATCTTCTTATCACTGTTCTGAAAAATACAGCTTTTCAATTTTTATAATTCTTCCAAATTTCACCGTAGACTTTACCAGTCGTTATTTCGGTGTCACCATTTATCACGTTGAATGATTGCCCGCTGTCAGTTGGAAAATTTACTGTTTATGGTGATGAGATACTGAGACTGATAAATTAAATTGATATAGTGTTCCAATCTTTGATTCCTTTGTTAATATGTGGGAACAGTTAAACCTGCACTTTTAAATATTGTAAAGTTGCTGATACCATTAACGAAGTTCTGAAGATAATGCACGTTGTAAATGCTTATGAGCTGCTTATTCCACTTTTAATTCTCTATTCTTTTGACATAGTTTTGCACTTTTCCAATCTATTTACCATACTGGAAATAATCGCCCGGTTTTAAACTGTTCAGCAAAGTCTTTGTGATTTCAGTAATTTTGTGTTCATTTTGTATCAGAACATTTCGTGGAAGGAAATCGACTAGTTATTAAAGAAAGAAGTTGATGACGTGAATTAAGATGTCATTTGGTGGAGTTGTATGCGTAATTCTGATGAGAATATCATCCATCAGCAATTTATCTTTTGAAGGTAAAATAGCATTATGAGTGATTCTTTCCTTATAACTTCCAAATCTATCCATTGGATATCCAGAAATATTGGAAAATGTTTTTAACAGACAATTCATTTGCATTTTACAGACAAGTTCTCTTTGAAAGGGATAGAAACTAAGCTAATTGTTGGAAGCTTATTCATTTGTGGCTACCTACCATCTTTCTGGTCTTTATCATACAGTGACACTTATTCGACTAGAGTTTTTCCTCTATCCTTCACTGTTTCGCTCTTAAATTCTTTTCTTTTTCCCGTAGGAATATTGTTCCCATCGCGGTATTCTCATTTCTTCATTTGTTTTATTTGTGTCGCTATTTTCCCTCTCAAATTATTTAAATATTGCCATTATTTTTTTTCATTTGCTCTCCCAAGTTCATTCTATTTCCTTCTCCGTTTCTTTTTTTTTTCACCATAAATATTAATTTTATCCATGATAAGGAATGCCTTACAAACGTGGAATCTTGAGATAATATATTTTGTTGCTCTTCCACTCTTCATGACTGATTCATTTTTTTTCCGTATTCCATACTGCAGACTGCCTTCTCTAGCTTTTTGCATCTGAAGTGTGCAATTATCGCTATCTTTATATTGACTGTTCTTAATTTATCATTACATCTTCGTTCTTCAGAATCCTCCCAATGCGCTACTTTATCTAGAGTTGGTAACATGCAATTTTTAATTTGATTTGCTAACTGCGATTGCATTCTTCAAATTTAAATCCAGTTCCTTTTTTTCTCCTTGTTCTTAAAGGAAATGAGGTTGGTTCCCTAACTTATTTTCAGTGGTGTCTCTACACGTCCTTTTGGAAAATATGGGTTAAGATAACTGAATGAAGAACACTTATAACACTTCATCAGGATTTAATTGGATCACAGAAGAGTAGAAAGTGTCTTATTATTCAACTTCAGTCATATGCAACGAGATTGTAGTCAGTAAGATGAACAAGATAAATATGCAGTCCCAATCAAAAGGCGCTACCATCTGTTTGTGAAACATTATGCGAAAATATTATTCGTTGTGAAAGAGCAGTACCACTCAAGCATTAATGAACGTTGACATAAAAAAGAAACTGAATTCTAATTTCCCAAAGAGATAACTCTTTCTCCAGTTACGTTACGCAGTACTCTTTGATTTTTCATTTCTCAACCGGAAAAAAACCTTTTATCTCAAGAAAAAAAAGTTTTATCTCCGATGGTTTTTAAATCTATCACTTCACATTTCAGTACAATCAAGCTCCAATGAATGGGTTTAGTAGAATAGTGGAAATATAAATATTAGAAGGAAAAAATACTTAATCTCAAAATCTCGAAATGTTGATGGAAGCTGGTAGGAAAGGATATGTCCCATCTTCTTGTCTTTCATCCTTATCATTGGTTTTCGAGTTTCACTTGTGATTTAATTTTTATAATCCTCTCTTGCTAATCGCTAACTGACCAGGTTATACATTCTGCGATCAGAATGACATACACAGTGATTCGAAAAGAGAAAATTCCCTTATTGGATTAGTGACAAAGAACGAGACGTGCAAAGCAATCTGGAAGAATGAATCTAATGCGCAAAAAATTTTCTACAAAAATGTATGATTACCTTACACAAAATCTCTTGTATTCTCAGATAGGAACTATGGTCATTATAATGTAGGCGCAAATTGTGTTGTTTCATTCAGTGCAAATGATCATTCCTTCATTATGTATAAGAAACATTTGCACAAATTTCCAAACTTTGGCTGATATGAAGAGGTTGTGTTAGACTGACTGACTTCATTGTTAGTGAATTATACGCTCACTGATAATTGCTTTGGAAATCCATATGTTTACATATTTGTGATCCTCCGGCCACTGTTCTTTCTATGATAAAGTGGTCATTTATGGCTTAGTTAAGCTGTCTTCCCTCACAAAGTTTGTAAAATCACTTGTTGTTTAATTGTATGCTTCCTATGAGAAAGGACGATTTAAAATATATTCTAGCGTGAGCTGTATATAAACACTGCAATTGAAAATAGAATCATTATATAGCAAATAAAAATTCAACCCAGAAGACTATCAGATTGTTGTCGAGAATGAGTGATGTTTGTTCTTAGGCGTGCATGTGGGATCCATAAAGGAATTGTTGTATGTGCGAGAGATGAGTTATATCTGTAGTAATGGATATTTCGCGACTCCTATAAATGTTAAAAAATTTTAGATTTTTTGCGAAAACGGATTTACATGAAAATCATTTTTCCAAAACAATTCACTCTTAGTTCGAATCCGTTATAAGATCCGGAAAGTTGTTCATTTGTTTCGTTTTGTTTATTTTATTCGTCTTATGTAATAGTAATTCCTGCGGTAGTAATAGTTCAGTAATGGTGGAAAGATGTTGGTTTCGTATTTAATTTGTTGGAGCATTAAACACAAACGGTGTAGCGAGTATTTCTAGAAATTTGATTAAACATTTTTTGAATAGACCGAATGAGAGAGGATGGAAGTCTGTACGGATAAAAGGAAACTGAATAGTATTCTACATACTAGCTAGTGCAAACCCTTGGGCATATTCGGTATTAATATAATCCTGAAGGATGGAACTGCGTTGGCATCATTAGTTCCTGAAATGCCTAGCTCATATCATATCATTTCAACCTTTAAATCGTTTATGATTACACAACTTTATTTTCAAATTTAAAAACTTGAGCAAATGGAGAGACGAAGCTGTGCTGAAATCAGAAATAATCCCTTCAGATTTATTTCTACCATGGAGTGTGACTAACCCTAGTTCCATCATTACTTGTTTACAAAACCTGATATTGGAAGCTTTCTTAGTGGAAAAATTGGTTATACTGTCAGTAATGAAAGAGTTTGAGCAGTAATGTTGTTGTGCTGGAGAAAGTTGCAAACAGTTCAGAACAGGTGGAATCGATAAATTCGGGGGTGATAGCAGGAATGATCTGAAATTCCTTTTCTTTGTGATATCCTTGATCATCTCGCCAACGAAAAGAACCGGGAAGAAGGCGGGAAGTAAGGAGATTTGGAAAACGTTCCGTTTTTAAAGGATGAACGTAGCCGAACAGAGACGATTTATAAAATTGTGCACACTTTGGACTTTTTAACGTGATTTATTACGCAACGTACGTTCAGATCACCTTATAAGCTCACCTTCAACATTGTTGCACTTTATTTTCTCTATACTTTTATTTAAAGTTTGTTACCTTTGAAGTAGAACAGACAGGATGAGACAGTGGAGTTTTCTATTACAAGGCCTGGAGAAAGCAAGAATTCCCGTCTTTTTTCTCATCTTATTCCTTTTCTTTCGATATCTTTTCACTACAGATTATTTTCGTTCTTAAAGAAGCGCTCATTTCGCGAATTTCGCTCTCATCAGTAATATTTTCACTTTGCGATTTTGTTTCAGTCGGAAAATTCCTCTTTTTGCATTTTTTTTCCTTCATTTTAAATGTTACAGTGTTTGTATCGTAATCAGAGCTTATCTATTCCCTCTACTTTAGGGCTTTGCTCACAAAAATTTTGATATTTCAGTTGCCTCAATAATTTAAATCGATTAAGTTTGTGTAATCCACAATAAAGGAGTTTCAGTCTTATTCTTTCCCATTCCCAATCATTTTGATTACAATTCAAAGAAGTATATATAAAACCGGAATATATATCTCGACTGTACCTGAAAAATAAACGATCCGCAACATATATTTTGACTTAAATTTAGCCTTCTATAAATCATTGCATCGTTATTGTGTAAAATTACCCTTTAAATTTAAGTTTTCTGCGTCATACGTCTACTTCAATTAGATATTAAACGTAGAATCGGAAGCTCATAAGCAATTATGTCTAATGTTTATTTATTTATTTAATTAATTCATTTATTTATTTATTTATTCATTTGTGAATTAATTAATTAATTATTCGTTTGTCTGTCATCTGTTTTCCGACCAATTGCGCTTTAAAATCTCATTTTATTTTCCGGCATCCCTAAATTTCGTCATTTACTCAGGGAAGTACAACTCAACTGGCAAAGCGAAGTAGGAAGAGGATAATTGGACGCATACGCCTATAGTGACATCCTACCAGTAGCTCTCAAAAGGCATTTAAAGAATGCCATTTTCATGCTTGCCTTTTTTCGCCTGCAATAGGCAGGTGGACATGCTGGATCGCCGACAGTGTAATCTCCAGTCGATACCGCATGATATCGATCGGAATGCGCGAACATTGGAAGAAATGTATTTGGACTGTAATCATATCAAAGATTTGGATAAGGTTGCAGTTTCTGTTTTCTTTCCCTTAAAATAAATAAATATAAAGAAGCAATCGAATATGGTACCATGTGAAGTTCACTTGAAGCAGCGATTCTTTACTGTTGCATTTTCGGTTTGTAATAACCTATTACCAATATCTGGATAACTACTAACGATGTGTGTAATGCTGTACAATGCACTACTTTTTTTCGTTCATCTTCCATCATTATCAGTGCGGTGCTGTAAGCACAAAATCAAGGTTATACAGTTTTGTTATCGGGCAATGTCGCTTTTATTTACCGCCCATCTACATAGTCTTGAAAACTGTACTAAACATTTGCAAAGGAATGTCAAGGTCAAGCAAAAACGTCTTTTAATTTCACTTCTCGGAAGACATGAATTTTCTGATATTTTGCAATTAATATCTATTTATCGATTCATAACCAATTGAACAACAGTACATGGATAATTTTTCAGCCATTATTTCGATGTCGAAAATTGAAAATTCTAAGCTTAAGCGAAAATGAGGTTATTCGTTTGCCTTCCGACATTGCTCATCTTACTTATCTGGAAGAGCTTAATCTTAAAGGGAACGGTAAGTGCCAGTGATTGAGAAAATTTTTTTAGAAAATTCTAAGAAAATTTTTAGAAATTTTTTTGTTGAAGCGAATGAAGCAAATAGAAATTATAGGAAGAATGAAAAGTTTTTGGATGAATTCTCTGTAATTCTCTTCTACGGTTCTCTTTAAAAATGATTTTGTTTTTTCCAGTCAACCTTGCTTACTTTCTTGTGTCGATAAAATAAAGTCTTTTTTGCCCTTTTTTGCTTAAAGTTATATTTCTGCAGATGTCTCTGATCTTCCGGAAGAAATAAAAAATTGCATTCAGTTGAAGATTCTTGATCTCAGCTCGAATCCAATTACAAGGTTAATAATTTATCAACTCCTGTCCGATTTTCATGCGGTCCATTGGTTTGAATATTATTTGTTTATTATTGAAATAGTATTAAAAAGTTGAAAGAAATTGACATTTGTTTGCCTTCATGCACAATATTTCAGTTTTTATTAAAATTTGTCGAGAAGAATTGCTAGACTCTAATAATTATTAGATAAAGAATTATCAGATTAGTGTCTTTAGAGTTTAACTATGGAATGTAAAAAACATATCCGTTTTTGTTTAGACTACCACCAACAATAAGTCAGTTAACATCGATGACAAGTCTTGGTTTAAATGATATTTCACTCACTCAAATGCCTCATGATATTGGTCAGCTGCGGAATCTGCGATCTCTAGAAGTCCGCGAAAATTTATTGCGAACAGTACCTCCATCGATAAGCCAGTTGAAACAGCTACGAAGGCTAGATCTTGGCCATAATGAACTTGATGATTTAGTTAGTTTTTTAAAATCTTCAAGTCTATTACTTGTTTGCCGATCCATTAATGCAAAAAGTTACAAAGTTACATTACATCCTGCTGTCAAACACCTGGCAAGTTCAGGGTTTTTGCTTGATTTTGCCCATTTTGCTTTGTATCTGTTTTGCCACGTTGCTCTTAAATTTCAGATATTATTTTTGATCATTTCAGCCAAACGAAATAAGTATGTTGGAGAATTTGGAAGAGTTATATGTGGATCAGAATGATTTAGAAGCTCTTCCCGAGTCGATTGTCCAGTGTCGTTCTTTGGAGCAATTAGATGTTTCCGAAAATAAATTAATGTTGTTACCGGATGAGATTGGAGATTTGGAAAAGCTAGATGATCTTACCGTTTCTCAGAATTGCTTACAAGTGCTACCGAGTTCAATTGGCAAGTTCTGCACACATTTCTAGATTTTTAGCAGCTACTCAGACGAAGAGCTTCTGATTCTTTATTTTAGCGGTAGTTTTTTTGTCAAGGAAATCAGTCAGGTCTTATATTTATCAATGTTGTTTGACTAATGTATAGTTTTGTTTGGAATTATCCAACTGCGAGACGTAATATTGTGCTGTGAAATCATTAAATGAAGACTCCAAAGGATTGCTTTTATAATGTTCACAGTTTGTTGTAGAAATTCTCTTATAGTAATCACTTGCGATCACTCTCGCTTCTTGAAGCTTTATTCCTGGGAATAACAATGTTGTATTTTCCTATTACAGGACGTTTGAAAAAACTGTCCATGTTAAAAGCAGATCGTAATGCAATTACGCAGTTAACGCCAGCAATTGGTAGCTGTCATGCATTAACAGAAATCTACTTAACTGAGAATTTGCTCACAGTAAGCCATCTCTTCCACTTTCAGTGTTTACGATTAAATTGAAACTCGCTTTTTTATTCGATGAAAATTGGTCATGAAGTTAGTTTCATACGGCCAAATCTTTTGATTTATAAATTTGAAAGTAATTAAATAGTAAACATAACAAAAACTTCCTCAATTCCTTCTACGGAAAAAATGTGTAGAACCTATAAAGCCAATATTTAGGGGAAATAATAAGTATAATGAATTTTCAGGAAATTCCTAGTTCACTGGGCAATTTGAAAAGCTTGCGGACACTTAATTTGGATAAGAATCAGTTAAAGGAACTTCCACCTACGGTTAGTGTTATCATTGTGCAACCGAATTGACCTTGTTGGATTTGTATCTTTGTACCGCCACATTTGTATTTTCTTTGTATACGCTGTAAAAAATGTTTAGTAAGGCGGTTTTAAAGCTTGACTTGACAGTCAAGTAAATGATCGTTACTGAGAATTGGACCTTATTTTTAAATTCAGGAATAACATATTTCAGATTGGTGGTTGTACATCGTTATCAGTTCTTTCACTTCGTGATAATTTAATAGAGCAACTTCCACTTGAAATTGGGCGACTTGAAAACCTGCGAGTATTGGATGTTTGTAACAATCGTCTGAATTATTTACCGTTTACTGTAAACGTTCTTTTTAAGTTAAGAGCTTTGTGGCTGTCTGAGAATCAGGTGAGAATCACTGTGATCCTTTTAAATGTAACATCCAAAGTCATACGCTTTGAGTCATTTAGTGATCTCTTCTTATTAATCTTTCTTTAATATATGTGAATTTATTTCTATATTTATTTTAAAAATATTTTTGTTTATCTTATTATTTAGTCGCAAGCAATGTTAAAATTGCAAACGGAGCAGGACCCAAGGACAGGAATCAAAGTTCTAACATGTTATCTCCTGCCACAAAGCAATTCGCAACTCGGTATTTAAAATTTTCTTATTTTCGACATTTTTTTGTTTGCTCGAACCACCTATTAAGTAGATAACAGTAGGTGACAGATCTTCACCATTAAGGATCCAGATCATTTCTTCCATTGCAGTAGAACAAGCTCCACCAAACCGTTCATTCATCGGTGGTCCAAAAGTACATTTTGGTAGTGATCTGGAAGAAACGCATGAAGATGAAGAGAACGAATTGGGACAGTTTTCGCGACATGACACTCCCCATCCAAAGCCGCACTCCCATGCACCAAAGTTCAAAAAGCAGTCTATCGATGGTCATATAATTCTTCATGATGATGACGTAAGTGTTCATCTTAGATTTTTTCATAATTCACAAGACGGATATGGTCTGTGTTGGCCCATTCAAGAGGTCGGTGAGTAAATCCATTGCCTTCTAGTTTTAAGTGATTTTAAGTAAGACTTTTTTTTTTCAAATTTTCTAGGTTAATAGGGAAGTTGCGAATTGTAGGGAAGCTGAACCGCTTTTTTTCAGGATTTATAGCAGTACGTTGCTTTACAAAATCCATCGGAGGTTTGCGCACTCCATTTTCCCTAGCGACAAGTTTTGTTGCTTACTTTTTTTTTGTCACCACTAAAGAGCTTTCGTGCCGTTACGCTTGTTGAAATTTATAGGAATTTTTTCCATCTAACGGTCTTCCTGCAATATAACGAATGAGTTGATGAATAAGAGATAGTTCCATTAATTTTATTTTTATTTTATGCTAATTTATTGATCTCATCCAAGAGACGCGCTAAAATTAAAATGTCTTTTTGATATGATTTATTTACTGATTTCATTCTTAATGTATCAGAATAGAGTGAGACTATATATATTGCATGTTCTTGGTGTTTTATTAACTTGATTTTTAATTTGCAGTTACTTGCAGTTTGAACTGATGACTTTTGCTCTTTTGCAGCAGTCCACAAAACCACCAACACTGGCATTGAATTCTGGTAGGAAGCGTGGTCCTGATGAAGGTTCACCTCGTGCACAGTCTCCAAATGCATCAGCAACTCAGATTGCCTCACTTCGAAGTGCATTGAAACATCCACCTGTACTGCCATCAGTTGCTGGTTTTGATCACAGTGTAAGCTTCCATCTTGTTTTCATATTTTACCGTTTGATTTACTTGCATTCATACAGTAAATGGATAACTTATCAGGTCTATCATGGTCTTTTTTGATAGTTCTTGCCGTTATTTTCATTATGCTATATCGTGTAAAATAAATCGAGGTTGAAAATTTCACTTATTACTATTGATTTCACTAAAGTCGAAATAATTCACTTGGTTTTCCGCTATTGCTAAACTGTCGCAAAATCCACTAATTTGACTATAAATTAATTTACAGTTATAAATGATTGATTAATCGATGTTTTTGGCCATATTATCAGAAGTTACCACTTTAACAAAAATTACCACTCAAGTATTGTTTTACTCTGAAGTTAACATGTTGGTCGAAAGTTTTAGACATAACACTGTGTAGGTTTTTCAGTAAGATTTTTATGAAACAGAAGGAGGTATTGGTAGCAGGAAAGCATGTTACTTATGTCGGAAGATATAGACATTAGACTACACGATTGAAACAATCAACCCCAAACTCCTCCAAAAGCTTATAATTAATTACCAATGAAGCGCGGTGGCAATTATTTTTGTCGATGCCATTGATTCAGAGCATGCGCTATTTATATTTATTTTCTTATTGCTTTAATGATTATTATTTCTCATTCATTTCCTTTTATATATTCGGATCTTTTAGTATGACAAAAAATTGTTTTAAAATATTCCATGAGCGAACAAGTGATGCATGGAAATTCTTGTGTTTATTTCTATGTGACGTTCCACTTACTTTTTTGACAGTTTTCGATTTCCAAATTTCGAAAGAAAATCATTTGTAGCATTTTTCAAAAATTTAGTGGAAGATGTGGTCAAACATGTCTTTATTCTGTATAAACCTTAAGGGAAATTAATGTGATTTCATGCGTTTGATTTCATATAGCCTTTTTCAGATTGAACGCATAGTAGATCGTAGGCAAAAGTTATCACCAGGTGTTGAAATATTGAATATAAAAATTCATCGTGATACAAATGGAGGCCTTGGCTTGTCCATTGCTGGTGGTTTAGAATCAACACCTTATAAGGTTAGTTTGAAAGGGAATGGTCACTTATAAAAATTTTTGTTATAAAATTGGAAAATTGTGAGGATGACAGTGACACGGTAATCTTTCAGGATGATGATACTGGTTTATTCGTCTCGAAACTTACTGATGGTGGTCCGGCAATGATTGCTGGACTGCGAGTTGGCGACAAATTGCTTCGTGTTAATAAAACAGATGTAGTTAATGTGCGTCATCAGGCATGTTTTCTTATTTTTCTTCCGTGTTTGTAAACTTCAGGAATATTAAGAACAAGCAATGTTTCACCTTACTGTTTTTGATCATAAAATAGCATAAAGTAGAAATAACTCATATGTTGAGTTTTACTGAGCAATTTCTCCTATATCTGGTGTTCAGGTAGCAGTAACATCAATGCAGGACGCTCGAGATGTCGTAGAGCTGACGATTTTGCGTGATTCGCATGAAACACCGTCTTCTTATGTTGCTGCTAGCAGCTTCACTGTACGGATTTTGATTTTTGGAATTTCAATTTTGCTTTCTTGATTTTGGAATCAAATAAAATATGAACATCGTTTCAGATATCTCCAAATCAGAGTACTGATAACTCATTTATCTCGGAGTCAATCGAAGCGTCATCATCAGTGACGAAGGAGACGATTTCAACAACGATTCGCCGAGATATAAATGGTTCGCCGGGGTTCAGTGTTGCAAGTGGTACAGGTGGTGTAATTGTGATATCATGTATTGCCTCTGGAGGTGCGGCAGAAAGGAATGGCAAGTTACGCGTTGGTGATCGCGTACTTTCGGTAAGGTTTTTCAGAAACCTCTGAAGGATTTTCAGACGAATTTCTATATTTCGGACGACAGATATGTACTGCAGGAATTGTTTTCACTATCTGAAATATATTTTTGTTTAGTCCACTCGTTTATATACAATTCAGATAAATGGCACAAATATGAGAGGTGCACGACATGACCAAGCAGTGGCATTACTAACTGGACATAGTGGAAGTGACATCTATCTGGTGGTGCAGAGGGATCGTCCCAATCAAAATGTTATCATACCTCCTTCACCGAGGTGGACTGTTTTCTAGAAAATACACATCTCATATTTGATCTAATAACTTCTAGTTACTTTCTGGAAAACACACATTTAATATTTGACCCGATAAACTTCCAAGTTTTTACTTTATTAAGTGAATTTGAAAAATTGTATTTAAGTTTGTCGTCAATAAGAACACACACAGTTGAACGGATATCGCCACTAAGGAAATATGGTTTTGGTGATCCTTCTTGGGATGGTAAAACCGAAGTTAGTTATTCTGTTACCATTTGCAAATACTATGTATAAATATGTGTGTTTCTCATACATTAAATGTGAGGAACTGTTGGTCTATTATCCTTTTTGTCCATGAATTTTGAATCAGGTAAGTTATAAATGACATTAGCAAAAGCAAGTTTTTTCTGGGCTACAACTTGTGTTTTCGTCTACTGCAAGGAAGGAATGCCATTAAAGGTCAGTGCAGGAATATTAGCACTGACTGCCTTGATAACTCATATGGTGCGTTTTTAACTTTCTTCATTCCTGCAAGTTTTCTGAATAAAGCTTATATTTTTATGTACATGAAATAACTTTGCAGGAAGTAGAACTTGTGCGTGACAATCACTCACTGGGTTTATCTATTGTTGGTGGCAGTGATCATTCTTCGCATCCGTTCGGTATCAAAGCGCCTGGCGTATTTATTTCAAAAATAACATTAAATTCACCAGCAGGTCGTTCACAGAAGCTGCGTATTGGGGACAGAATATTATCGGTAAACAGTACTGATATCCGTACAGCGAAGCATCAAACAGCAGTTGAGGTATTTCATTGCAATTAGTTTATCGTACTGGATTTGCTATATTATGGAATCGTTTTGCTCCTATAATTTTTTATAAAGTGGCTTCATTCTTATTTATCTTTAAAAATATGTGCTTTGTTCACCTGCCATGAAACAGAATACATCTTTCCGATGACCGTGGTAACAAAGCGTTCATGTTAGCTTCCAAGCAAGCTTAAGTCATTTACAAAGATTTACATTTCATTTTCAAACAGTAAATCATTAAAAAATTCATTAAAATACTTATCCGTCTTCACTTCATTTTCGTCCAGAGTTTTATATTTTAGGCCTTGAAGCAAAGCGATAGGACAGTACGTTTGTTAGTCATTCATGAGCCACAACCACCAGGCTTAAGACAGGTAACAATTAAGCGAAATATTGGCGAAGCACTAGGATTAAATATCTGTGGTGGTATCGGTAGTCCGCCGGCAAATCCTCTTGACAAATCTGATGAAGGCATCTTCATCGAAAAGGTTCGTTTCACTTTTAAGAAAGCACAAATGCGTAATAGTGATAAAGTTGAGATAGAGTAATATTTGAATTCAAAACTATGCTTAAAGGGAATTACTTGTGTAAACGTCATATAAATTGATATTCTGTTTCTAGGTGGAGCAAAATGGTCCTGCAGCTGCATCATCGTTATCGGTAGGAACTCGTATTCTGGAGGTTAACGATGAGTCTCTCTTAGGATGCTCACAAGAAGAGGCGGCTCGTATTTTACGTCAATCTGGCACTATTGTACGACTACTAGTGTGTGATGCTTTCTGTGTCCCTTCTACTGCTGTAAGTTTTCTCATAACCTTAATTTTAGAATCTTAAGCGACGATAGCACTAGGAAATGGTTAAATTGTCATTTATGCATTAAAAATTTAAATATGAAGCGTGGAGGCTTGAATACTTATTACTACCCTTTTTTTTTGTTTTTCATTTCTTTGCTTTACCGTAATAGCTTCCTGCTATTTATTTTAAGCAAATATTGAGCATGATTTGATTAAAACAATTTCGATTTGGAGCATTTTTAACACCGATTACTCTTCCTTTCCTTTATTCCCCCTTCAGTTTTCGAGAAAGTATTTAAAAAACGAAAATTGCAGATATCTTCCTCGTTCATGGGTCAAACTAGTAATGATACGCAAGTTGTATCCGGCGAGCGACAAACTACTATTTCCAATACTCTTTTAAACGCTGATATTCAGGAATCATTAAGCTGTTCCTCGTCACAACCATCCAAACCATCTTCATCACCGGACACTGGAGTTTCCGAGACAATCAGAACTCTAGCTTCCATTTCGACTGATAGTCCTTTGGCTGCTTCTTCTCCAGTTCCACCTATTTCTTTATCTTCTGCTGCAGTTAATACTTTTCTATACATCTCACTCATTAATTTTTATAACTTCAAATAAGTAACTTCAACTTCAAATAATTAACTTTATAAAAATAAATATTGGTCGGTTACTTGAGCAAAGAAATTAAAATTTGGTCGAGAATGGTATGCATAATTAATACAGTAAGCGTAAATTCAAGTCTCTGCTAGTATCACCAATAATTCAACGATGATTTTTGATTTCTTTTTCTTGGAAAGTTCACATGCTACAAATAAAATGTAACGTGAGGGAGCAGAGGACATATTTAAAGGATAAAAAATCTAGTGACTAATGATGCTCAGTGAAATTAAATATAATTCAAAGAGTAGTTGAAATTTTTTTCGTTTTGAACTTGAAATCAACTTCTCTTTTTCAAAATCCAGTTCTGTCATTCGAATTGTTAGACGACAATAAAACTGAAGCAAAATATCTCAAAAAAGCTCAGAAATTTTGGAAATTTGGCGAAGTCAGGAAAGCGATTTCGCACATCTTTTGAACTACCTATAGACCATGACTTCTAAAGCAAACACTCTGATAAGAGAACCATTCATTTGGCAGTCCACTAGGAATTCCTACGAAATCATTATACCTAATTCATTACAAGATAGTTGAAGGTTTCGTCTCAAAATTGTCATGATTTAGATGGAGGCAGTCTCCATTCTGATGAGCAATTCTATAGATGGGATTTGCAGTGTAGCTTTTACTTACAGATATTAGGTAAAATCAGTGCTATAAATATGTCTCATTTCTCGATTAGTTCTGAATTTTCAGGCACCTTCATCAACTTCGAGTTTACTGCAACCTTTATCTCCATTTTCATCATCGAATACAACTACATTTTCCACGTCAAACCTTCGTACAGCTGCACCTCCTCCGATTGCCCCAAAGCCGCGAATCATTCCAAATCAGGTAACAGACATATCATGTTTTTCTTGAAGAATATCCATAATTTTTTGTTAGGTGGGATGTTTTAGATTTACAAATATTCTTGCCGTTTAGTCCTAGAATAAAGACTGTGGAGTTTTTTTGGTTAAATATCAGATTGAATACAACTGTCTAGATTCGCTGTTCTTTTGTGCTGTTCCTTGCTTGTGATTTTTTTTTTTTGCTACAATTCAGAAAAATGGCTTTTTCTGTTTCCCAACGTTTAATTTCTTACATGCAATTTGGCCCTCTTTTCAAATTTGATATCGTTCCCTTGCTAATTTTACTAGAATTTCCAAAAATTTTTCAACTTTTAAATCAAATAAAGTAACATTTAATGGTGTTAGTCACGGGTTTTTCATATGCCTCATTGTTACTTTTTTGAAACTAAATTAGACTTAATATTAACACTTTGGGTTGAGTGCTCGTCGCTTTTTATTTTCTCGCTTTCCTATTCATGTTTCTCTACATATATATATATATATATATATATATATATATATATATATATATATATATATATATATATATATACT